TTTTTTTTTTTTTTTTCTGGGTTATTAGAGTTTTCTTAAAGAAATGTTTCTGGGTTTTTGGGATTTGAAGAGGAATTTAGTGATTTAGGTTTTTGATTTTAGAGATATGAATTTAGGTTTTGGAATTTAATAGAAACGAGGCGAGATAAACTTTTTTTTTCCCCCTGAGTTACGTGTGTCACGTCAATTAAATTGGTGGACAGGTTGGCATAAGTTGGTCGGAGATTAGGTCAATGCTTTGTTTTGCAGAAAACCAAACGGTTAGGTACCAAGGTGTTAACTGTTAAGGTCCAAAGTCGTAGCAGAAGTGCAAAAGTCGATAAGGTCGTGATGTCGGATACAATTTTTCCTATCCAATGTGCAGTATTGTTACAAGCACGGTTCTAAAAATTGAACCGGACTGGTCGGTTCAATCGGTTGGACTAGGAACCAACCTTCATTTTAGTGTGGTTAGCTGCATCAAACTGCCTGCCCTGAGAACCGTTCAGGAACTAATTGAACTAGTCCTAAACCGGACAAACCGGTGAATCGGGACCGGTTTTGGAGGTTCAACGGGTCCAACATTTTTTTTTTAATTTTTTAATTTTTTTATTTTTTTTTTGCGAATAGTTGATTGTGAAGTGATTTAAATAGCATACATTTTTTACTTGTGTTTCCAATGTGAGATATGTTCACTGCTAAGATTATTGGGCCATTATTGAGCCTTACAAGAAAATTGTACTCATTAAAAAAAGGTACTATCTGTTGAGTTGTTGTTTAGTATAGATTTGATGGGCAAGGGATAACCGAGTTACCCGACTCGGGTCGATCTCGAGGGAAGGCTATTCAGAGATTTATCTACTAAATGATCGTCCAAATCACAAAAAGAGAAAATAAAATCCTAAAAATTCTAAGCAATTTGATTGGATGGTGGATTTTACACTAATCGAGCACTTAAAAACGAGCAATTAACTAAAAGCAAGATCAAATGACGAGCAATTAGCAAACTAGATCACCGGAGTCTCATGCCATAACTATAATGGAAAGATAATCAATCGACATACGGAATAAACGAGCTACGAGCATTAGATTGCTAACCCTAGTCATCTAACCGAGATCAACGAGCAATTAACGACTCTATCTACTCAAGCAAGCAATCAAATACAAGCATTTCCTCCATCATCAATCAAATCCAAATTTACCCTAATGAACATTATAAGTAAAAACGGAGCAAAAACCGAAGTAAAGAGCTTTAGAACTAAATACTAATTCTTCCATTGCGTAGACAATGAAAAACGGAGTCAAAAGCTCGAAACTTGAAAGAAACCGAAGTCGCCGGAAAATCTCCCAGAAAATAGCATAAGCTCCTAATCTAGAGAGCAAAAATAAAACATAAACAAATTTCCCAAAGAGAAAAAATGAAAAATGAGAGTTGGATCCCCAAAGTCCAAAGAAAAAAAACATATATATAGTGTATCTCCAAAAACACACACTAGGTGCACACACATTTAATGATTCAGCAGTTCGCAGGTTGCCAAAACAGGTTCGCAGCGAGTGTGCACATAAAAATCAACTGAAAATGGCATTTCGCAGCTTGCCAAAAGGAATTCGCAGCGAGTGTGTCCAAGGGCTGCCTGGGGTGTGCGTTTGGCGGCTCGCGAAAGAAGACTCGCAGCGAGTGATGTGCTTGGAGATGCACTGTTTGGCAGGTCGCGGAAGGGTTTTGGCAGCGAGTGTGTGGGAGTTGAGGGTTGATGGACGCGTTGGCAGCTTGCGAGAAGAGATTCGCAGCGAGTGCGGAGGGTTGCTGGACGCCATGTCGTTTCGCAGGCCGCCAACCGTGTCTCGCAGCGAGTGTGGTGTTGGGCGCTGGCCACTTTCGCGGGGCGCGAGGGAGGATTGGCTGCGAGTGTTCGCTTGTGGATGATGTGCGCGCTTAAGCCTTTCGCGGATCGCCAAGTGACTTTCGCGGCGAGTGCCTCGGCCAAAGCTGGGCTGCCTTCGGGCTAGGTGTCGTGGCCCGATCAAACGGCTCGGGTGGCACGATGTGGATTCGGGTGGCTTGGAAATAGCTCAAAAATAACGTGAATACCTCTTCT